ACTACTCTCCTCCTCTCTCTCTCTCTCTCTAGGTTAGTTGAGCTTGCAGCGCCAGGGGCCTGCAGAGTGGGAGGAAACCTAATGCAGATAGTATGATGTCGTGATAGTTCTTATGTAATCAGATCAGATCCCGAAAGCAGGTGTGTCACAAATGAACGTGTGTGTGTGGTTGTAAGAGTTTCCATATGGGTCGTGGGTTTTAAACGGGGGGTTAAGGTAGTAAAAAAAAAGGTCATCCCCCATCAGCCTTGTTCGTACTGGAGGGGCCAGAGAGGGAAAAGCGAAAGGATGCACATGGCTGCTTCTTTCTTTCTGTAGCCCACCCACATCCATCCCGGGGGGCGCGACGGCGAAGTGGGGTAATGGCTCAGCTGTCGACGCGGGTATCGCCCTCATACTTGCTCATGGTTGGTCGTTGGCTTGGTTGGCTCCGGCCGTTAGCACTAGCATTTTAGTTGTTGTACATACCCAGCCTGAAACGTGAGTCCAACAAGTACGTAGTGTTCTGTAGTTCTCCCGAGGTCGTTGGTCATTGGTTCTTTCTGTAACTATCTCATATGTAGACACATTCAGTGTACAATATAGGCTACTCCGTATAATTCTTGATACCCTGAGGAATATAGCGGGCGATATGGCGAGTATGCGATATATTTGGACTTTGCTTCCTTATTGTAAACAATTTCTGGGCAGAGCCGTCTGTCTGTATCCCCGCCCGGGTCCCGACGTCAGAGAGTTTAGTGGCGGTTCGGGCCGACGATGTGATCAACTCCAAGGCAGATATTTTCTCCCTCTTCTGAATCGACAGAGAGGAGACGAGATTATGCTTTTTATCTGTGTGTTTCTCATGTCCCTACGTGGGTACTACGGTGATCAAATGGCCCCGGATAAGCTAGTATCTCAGTTCGAAAAGGGTTTTGGCTCAGAGCCCGAGGAGTGAGCTGCATCTTACAAGTGTCGAGGCAAACACCGAAGGCACTAGCGAGCAACATCAAATCCCGAGAACTCGCAAGCTTGTGTCAAGAATTTGTAATCTAGAGAGATTGGAGGAGCTTTGAGACTCTTAAAAACCTCGTGGGGTCTTGGCGGTCTGACCTGATTCAGGCTGTTGCAGCAGAGGCGAGAGCCGCCCTTCTCTGCTATTGTTAGCCTTGATATGCATCTACGACTGAGTGGATAAGGTTTACTATTATGTCATTTGCTTCACCGCATAACGGAGTAGTATGTTGAGAAAACAGGGCTGTGCTTGGCCATTGAAACATTTTCATCGTTAATATGTTCCAATTTGACGCTATCGTGATGATTTGTCTATGCCATGTATACAACTGGGTATCCGAGCGGAGTCTATATGCTCTTGGCGCCTGCGAAATAATCAACTGCAAATTTACATGCTGTCTTCCATATGTCTGCTTCGTACCTTCGCCCAATCGTCACGCTCCTTTTTGCCACCCAAGTTTTCCAGCCCCATACCTCTTTCGACCCATTCCTTGCTTCCCATCTCTGTTAGACGGGAGAGAGCTCTGATGAAGGCAAATCTTTCCTCGTCGCCCGAGAAAACATTGGCCTCCTTCAATTGCTCAATGTTGCTGTTCACATCCTCCATGGCGTCTTTCACCGCCTCGCTCTTGGACGTTTTATCCGAGGTGGCGCCGCCCTCCTTCTCCAGCGACTCTTCCAACTCCTGGGCCGAGAGGAAAAGTTGTGTAAGGGGCTTTTCCGTGGTCAATACGAGCTTGGCATGCGCCTCGTAGACAGCATCTAGAAAAGTTATGAAACGTCGAGCAATGTCGCGTTCGCGGTAGGTCATTCCAGGCACTTCTGTGACGATAAATGCATCATAGTTGCGTGTCAACTCGATATAATCAGCAGCGCCAGTAGCTTTTCCTAGCAGTTCTTTAAAGGTAAACCAAGCGCATCTGCCACTGACTCGCGGGACAAATATCTCACGACCCCAAACCGACTGTACCTCCGAGTGTGGCTCTGGCGATTCGGGATCACCAAGGAATCGAAACCACTTTTCGGCGTGTGATGCAGCATGTGCGTCGAGAGGGGTGTGGTAGACCCCTGATGGTGGCCGGGGAATCTTTCGATAGTCGGTAGGCGAGTCCAGATTGATGACATGCAGTCGCGCCTTGAGCAGATTGATGGCTGGAATAAATGACTCCCGCTGGATGCCATTCTTGTACAGTTCGTCGGGGACTCGATTCGAAGTGGTGACGAGTACCACTCCGTGCGACATGAGAGACTCGAGCAGCCTCCGCAAGATCATGGCATCTGCCACATCGGTGCACTGAAACTCGTCGAAGCAGAGGACATTCGCTTGCTCCGCGATGTCGGCGGCAACAAAGGGCACTGCATCGATGTCGTTTCCATGCTCCATCTTGATTTTGTGAAGCCTCTTGTGTACATCTTGCATAAAGTTGTGGAAGTGTATCCTTGTCTTGGACTTGACAGACTTTGGCAGCGTGTCGTAAAAGAGATCCATGAGCATCGTCTTGCCGCTGCCCACATCACCGTAGAGGTAAAGCCCCCGAGGCAGGTCGGCTGGTATATCTCGTATGGGGCTCTGCCCTCCCTTTGACCCAAACCATCCGAACAACGACTTTGAGGGTTTCAACGATTCCAATGTCGGGTGCACAACTGGTTTCGCTTTATAGTGGACGAGTTCGTCGTGTAGGTGCTGTAGGCTCTGAATAATACCACGCTGGTGCTCGTCTTCACGCAGGCGGCCCTCGGCGACGCGCCTGTCATATTCTTGTATGGGTCCGTGATCATCAGGTGCTCTTGCTGCTGTGGTGTCAGCCTTTGCGACGTACGACTACAAAGCACATACTACCAACCTTCCTCAGCGATGCCATGGGTCACTGTTGCAAACGATCTACTGCGCGAATAAAGTCGTGCTTGTGCAGATTGGCGAGCGGCAGAACCCAGGATGGACGTATGACCAGGCACAACGGGCGCGCGTTGTCGGAATTGCCTCTGAAGACACTGGCTGCATAGTGATCGTCTACTTCCAATGGTTGCAAATGATCGTGGAGTGAGCAGGCGCAAAGCAGGGGTCTGTACTCGAGGTCGCATATTGAACGAGGTCTTGTGACGCTACCAGATCCTTTCGACTTCTATAAAGATAGTTGCATAATTAAGTTTTGTAGGGAGAGTATACGAAGGCCAGGAAAGAGGAGCTCCAATCACAGGGCCGGGAGAGCAACAAGAATGGCAAGATAGGTAATGAAACAAAACCTTTGTTCGTCGTCCAGAGATTGACCTCGGAGAAGATTCGGGGGCTCTGCGCGTAATGGCGTCAGATGTCACTGGTCAGAACTCTTTTGCCGGCAATAGCAGAATGGCCGAGATATGAGCGCTATGGCAGAAACAGACTAGCTAAAGTGGGTGCCGTGGGGTATCCGACTTGGTACCTTGACCGTTGCGCCGGATCAAACTCCCGAAGGAATGAAGCCATCTCTGTATATGTAAAAGGTTTAACGTATTTTGAATGTGGGTTTCAAGATTTTGTCTGCGAACTGCAAGTGCTCAGGCATACATCTCTACTCTGAAGTCTGCCCTGTGTAATTGAAGAACAAGCGGCGTGCTTATTGTCGACGCCACGGGCATATTGCAAATCACCGGGTATACTCTTTTGCATATATAAATCAGATTGCAAATGCTCCACGCGACTTCTCCATAGGATATTCAACCTTTCGAAAAGACAAATCACAGCACTATCATACTTTTAAACGAACTGAATTGGGATCATGTACAAAATGAATGTGTCGGGTTTCAAGCGATCTTCGTTCTCGTGATTTTATTTTTCCGTCCGTTAGTCTGACATCCCATATTCTGAAGTATCCCAATTGAGTATTTAGAGATGAAGGACTGGGTAAGAGGAACGTTGCAAAGCTTCATCATGAGCCTTTTTGCCAGGGCGAGTAATATCCGTGAGCTGCATATTTATCTCGCGGGACTGACGTACTCAAAGGCAATCTGCCCTGGTTGCAGGCATTTCCGATGTTACCTGCTTCTCGCAAACTTCTCATGCCATTTGCCCTTGACGACGGGTACAGGACCGGATATCGGCTCTGAAACCAGCTCTACGGTATCGTGAATCGTGGCGACAGCCTTGAGCGTGGGTTCAGGAATTTGTGACGAGTCTGCTGTGGTTTCGCCTAGACTGAGTATGATCAGGGCATTTGAGGTGTTTTTCTGGCGCAGTCCCCATGATTGATTGCCATGCTTGATGACTGCAGAAGTTTCCGAGGATTCGAGCGAGAGGCTGGTTGCGTTGAGTAAGTCATCAAATCTGTAGTGGTCCTTTGAGGTATACCAAAGAAACATGCACTTACACGGGAGGGTCCTGAGATTCAAGCAGAGCCAGCAAATCGGGAGGAAGCTCCAAAAGCTTATAGTTGACCCCATCTGGAGCATGTGCTACAAGGATGCCAGCATCTGCCTGAGTAGACATATTTGTCTAGTCCTTGGCAGATCACGTTGGGGCTGCGAAAATGTCTGTCTGTTTACTCTAATTTAGAGACCGGATGTTGCTAAAAACAGTCTCAAGAATTGCCCCGTCGACGTTGACTGAGGGGCACGTGGGGCATCTCTTTTTCTTGCCCTTTGATGAGCATCCATCAAATCCCACTAGGGATGCGAAGAGGAAGCTAACTCGGAACCTACCGGCTTGTAGATATGTAGGCGCTTCCTTCAGATTTGCGTATCTCGTGCACGAGGACTATGACTGCGATTGTCACGGTTAGTACGCATTATTTGAATCAGAGGGGATAATAATATTTTGTTGGTCCATTTACAGAATTATTCCGAGCATTGCCTCAGGTAGCTGTCACAGGTTGCATGTGCAACAAAGTCAAAGCAGCCGCTGTCCGAAGGCGGGCGCCTGTTTACTCGAGCGGAGTCAAGCCAATCAGGCGGCTAGAGACAGCCGCGAAGCGTCGGCCGTCTGTTTACTTTCAACTTCCCCCCAACCCAATCCAACCAACCCCCCCTGATCGCTGACCAGCACGAAATCTCCGAGAGGGTCAAGATCGAGGACCCCGACCCTTAGTTGACCAGAGCCCACCTGGCGATGGCGATGTGATCCCCGTCGTTGTCCTCTCTTGAATCTTATTGCCCGCTGCCGGCCGATAACCCACGGCCCTTTCAGTCAGTTAGTACTACCATTACTACAACTGCTACTATATCCCGCTGCCAGCCTCGTTTCCATCCTAAATCGGTAGTGTCCTCATCTCTGCCATCGTTGGCCTGCCTCTGAGAAAAGTTGTTGTTGCTTCTCCTCCAGGTACCACGATTTCCTCGGTTTCCTGCCCAACTAGTGATTACGTGCGTATTGCGCCTGCAGGAACCGCAAAGCTAAACATCCTGCAGCTTGTTTGCATCAGCTACACTAGCTGCAGCATCGAGGTAAACAAACTCCTGCAGTCCAGTCCCGCCTATTGGACAGTTCGACGTTGCGAAAGCGGCCTTAGCAACCTGTTTACTCGAGGCGAGACAACATTTGCGCGACACTCTCGCATCTTCTTGGTCGCTGCCCAACCCGCACCAGCTCGTCAACTGGAAGCAACTTGGATCCCACCAGTCCCATCAAGAATAGCTCAACAACGCGAGCTGCGTGCGTCACCTGCTTGCTAGTTTACCTGTTTACACCATCCGATCATTCTCTGTCGCTCGCTACTCAAACAGCCAACTGCCTCGCGCTGCCCGATCACCTTTGACCGGGCTGCCCAAGCGTCGATCAACCTCAGCTATCTCCTGCTAGTCAGCATGATCGAGACCGACTGAAGCGGCCATGGTTCGCGTCACCGAGGAGCTGGCCTTGTCGCCAGAGCATCTCACCCTCTACCACACCACCGACCCTCTAGTAGGACATTTGCCCATCTTGATCTTTCATGGATCGTCAACGACTGCCAATTATACCTTCAATAGCTCAAGAGTTCAGCTACACATCTACAGTCCAGCCGGCTTCCAGTCCTTTCCTCGCTTGACGATTTCGCCCAATTCCTCTTCCTATAATGTCGTCAATTATCTCCCGCGCGAGTTCCAGGGCGACGAGACCACCCGCGCGCTGGCTTTTGGGCTTTTCAAGTATTTCAGCGAGCTTCACGAAACGGTCAAAACCCATCTCAAAAACCGGTATCCTACAACCAGGGGCAGGCGGCCTGGCTCCGCCCCAACCCTTTTTGGAGAACAGCATGCGGCCGATATTGCCAAGAGTATGCTTCGGTCTGAACTGCCAGTCGAGACTATTGAGAAGCTCGAGATGGCTTTGCAGACACAACATATCAGCAATGTCGACATTGACTTGGTTCTGCCGCCGGGCTCCATCATTCCGCTCAAGCCCGAAGACTATGATAATATCTCCGAAGACGAAGACGATATCGCGGATCCTACGTTGCGTCAGTATGGACCTTACACCCCGCTTGTCAGGGGCTTTAGCGAACCAGTATTTCTACCAACATCGAGACTGCGCCGAGCGCCATCGAAGCCTACTGCTCTCAACCGCCAAAAGTCTTTTACGAAAGACCAGAAATTGGAGTTGCGCCGGAAGTTGGCCGAGTTGGTGGACACCGAGGAGCGCTATGTTATGAAATTGAATGAGTTGGTCAAGCACATTGCGGATGAATACCGACAAAAGGCCAAGAGAAGGTCTGACAACAGTTTCAGCCCATCCATGGCGGACGTGGAGAAGCTGTTTCCAAAGTCATCCGAGCACATCCTCAAGGTCAATAGTGCTTTCATGCGGGAACTTCGCAAAGTTATGGACGACACAGAGGAGGAGGCAATGAGGGATATGGAGTCAACCTTACCAACAGGCAAGAGTGGCGCTTCAGGAAGCTCGGCAGGACGTTCCAAGGACCCCAGCGGTGCACTGGCTGTGGCTCGAATAATGCTCGAATGGTTTCCCAAGTTCACTGACTGCTACCAAGACTACATTCGAGCCAGCCAGGACTTTCCTCAGCTCATCACGTCCTTCATCAGCCAGCAGTCAAGCTTCTCACAGCGGGTTGCCGTCACTGGCGAGCAATACTTGCGATCGACAGTAATTGAGCCTGTCCAAAGACTTCCTCGATACAGCTTGGTCATTGACCAAATCGTTGCTTGCTTGCCCATGACGCACCCTGCGCTTCAGCCCATGCTAAAGTCCAGGGACATCATTGCCAATATTTGTTCCATGGACGATCCGCTCACGGAGAAGCCACATGTGAGCACACGATTGCGCAACATGATCCAGAATTGGCCACATGAGCTGGAACCCAAGGGTCGACTCATTGTGGCGACCGATTTCTCCGAGCTTGCTGCGCCTTTCGAAGTCGATGCGCCAATTGATATCAATACTGATGAACGAGCTGGGATATTCCTCCTCTTTTCTGATTGCATCATCATTGTCAAGAAGATATACGGTAGTAATATGATGGCGCGCGATCTGATTCGCGAAATTGACAAGCCTTCAGCAGCTGGGCTTTTGACTACAATGACGAATGCAGCTGGAGGGCCAGGATCTTACGAAGTTGCCTTTGCAGGATGGCATGACCTGTCCGCAGTCCGCTTCACTGAGTCGTCTGATGGACGCATCATCTGGATGACCTCGTCCAAGGAGATGCAGGGGGCAATCAAGAGTTCCGAAGTGACAACACGGTGCTTTGTTCTTCACGAGGCCTACGAAGGTAAGGCTGGAAAATGGACCGAAGATGTCGTCAAAGCTCGTATAGAGGCTCGATTCGGCGAAGCAGAGCGAGAGGATCCTCGCTGGACCCTCAGGTCGGTGCGTATGCCTGATTCGGGTCTCGGTGTCTACGCTGCCGTGTTCCAGGAAGGTCTCGATCAGCTCGTTGAAGGCCGAAAAGAACCTGCACCAATTCGGGTTGTCATCGATCATGAAAAGGGCACTAAGGGCTCCCCGATTGGCCACTATGGTGTTGAAATCGTCACAGACGTCAGGACCAGTGGTGGAAAGAAAGTACTTGTTATTACTGCAGGTCTGTCTGGCAAGAAAGCTACAGACGAGAGTGCTTGGGAAGACTTCTTGCCCACTCTGACTCGGCGAAGTAAGTGCTACATCTAGATTACGTCTTCAAGACCACTCAAAAGCTAACCATGGGCAGTCATTCAACTCTTGAGCACACAATTCGATGCGTCCAATCCCGCCTTGACCGCGGCCCTAGTGTCATTTCATACAAAAATACTTCGAGGGCTCAATATGTCGAGAAACCTTGAGAAATCTCGATCGTTCTTGTCGACTTCTCCGGTCAAAATGCTTACCAGTCTCTTGAGCGGCAGCAGCACTGCCTTATCTGAAACAGGCGGGTCTAGCAGGAGTCCGAAGGCATCAGCGCCATCATTATTTCCGGCTCCGTCCATAAGCAGATCAAATAGCTCACTCAAAGACTCGGCATCTCTGTATGGTTCTGCCAAAAGCAGAGAAGGAATCAAGATGGGAATCGACGAGGATCTACCAGAAAACCCACTGGTCCGCCTGGAACAGACTTTCACGGGATATATGGCCAGCCTGCACGCACGAAAAGGGAACTTTATTGGCAGACAAATTATCAATCGAGGTGCCGTCGATGAACTTGTGGTCAATGACCTGTATAACAAGCTCATTGAAAACCCCTTTGACATTGATCCAGCCTCCGACATTTCAGCTGATGTCATTTTCGTGGCCTTCGAAAAGTTTGTCAAGATTGCTTGGCAAGAACAAATGGGTCCCATCATGTCGAGGAAGAACTTGGACGCGCTCCAGGAACGTGCCTCAAAGAGGGTGCCTGGTGAATTCGCAGATTTTGTGCGTTTTCTCTTCGGAGATGTGGCTCCTCAGAACCGGCGCGCATTTACCGCCCTGATCAAACTCTTGGCCGATCTTCTCGATGGATGTGCCAATGATGGCGACAGGGGTGCATTAACCTTGGGTTTTGCGGAACTTTTAATTGACGACGGCACTGCACACAATTACATCAACCTTCTGGATCGGCTTGTACAGGATTGCGATCGCATATTCGACCAACCCACCTTTGACTTGGAAGCTTCGCTTAGCCAGGCAGGCGCTCTATACGACTCCTATACATCTGCTACCCGTGCCGGAAAATCACACACTGGATCGTTGACGTCGAACACATCTTCTCTTAGAAGGAAGTTGGGCTTTGACAACCTCTTGCGTCAGAACAGCAAGAATGAGGATCGCCCATCCGTCTGGCGAACACTTAGCAAGCACGGCAGAAATAATTCTGTCACGGAAAGCTCCAGCTTATCCAAAGCTTCGAGATCTGGAGATATGAGCCCTGGACCGAATAAGTTGAGACGTCCCGGCTCGCGAGATCGGCCCCCAATTGCTGGGGCTTTTGACGATACATGCTCGAGGCCCATCAGTTCACATCGGTTAGAGACCATTGGAGAACCTGCAGAGGATGCTCCGCCCAGGACGCCCAGAAGGAAGCGTCGAAGTTCACTCTCTGACCTGAAGAGTCTTATGGCTGCTACCACTCTACAAGATGACGATGAGCCTTTGCAACCATTGTCTGCCATGAAAGAAAATTCCCAGAAGTTCAACCCGGGACCCAAACTTCCGACACCTACCAGGATACCAATGAGCCCGGCGAATAATGCCCGTCCAAATCGTCAACAGGAGAACGTGCTTGGCAGCCCATTTCAGACAGTACCAAGATTGTCCTCACCAGAGTCTCCTTTCAGAGCTCATAATAAGGGCTTGTCGACATCCAGCATCCCGACTCTTCAGTCGTTGAAACCACTCAAAAGCTCGTCGCCATCAGTGGAATCCCCATCACGACCCCCCACGCGGCCTCCCTTGAGCCCTTCCAAAAGCTCAAGCGGCAGACTGCGCTTGCAATCTCCCCAGAAGCTCCGCGAGAGGCTGCAGTCCGAGAAACAGGCAGTAGAGGATGTAGATATGACGCTACAATCAGAGCTTTCGAGAATTTCAGCAGACATGGCCCGCTTCAACTCGTCACTACCTCGATCCAGCACAGTGGATCTTCGCAAACTGTCATCGAGCGTTAGCGCTTTGGAATCGCGCATTCCTGTTCTCGTCCGTGAGATAACGGATAGACAAGATGCGTTGCAGCGCGATATGGACAATACATTGAAAGCGACTGAGGCCAAGGTCAAGGAAATTGACCAGCTATACAAGGAGAGTACAGCCGAAAACGAGCTTCTCTACGAGAAATTCAACACGGAGCTAGTCAAGATTGTGCGTGCATTGAAGGGCAGAACGGGAGAAAAGGAAGAGATCATGACAAAGATGAAGGAATCGTACGAAGAGACGGCCAGAGTCAAGAAGGAGAACGCTCGACTGAGGCGCGAGATGGCAAGTCTGAGAGCAATGGTGAAGGGAGCCACTACTGAAGCCGCCTAGAAGGTCGGCTCGCTGCTTGCGAGAACCCTCAAAGGGTTGGCGTTTTGGTTGGTCTGGAAATTCCTGCGTGTCTATGATTGCTTTCGGACGGCGTTGGTGGGCAAAATAAGCGTTATATAATTATTTTGGAGTGCTTGCTGCTACTCTTTTGTTATTGCTACAACAGGACATTGGACATGCAGTTCGAATTTGGAAGATTCCCCCCAAATAGCAACGATATCCTACGAACTTGACTCGGAAAGAACCCCTTCTGTCTCTTCATGGCTGGTAGATTGCCAATCGAATGAAAAGAAAATTATCAAAATTCAATCCTACCTCGAACTGTTTACGGTTCATGTTCACATATTCCAATATTCCCATGCACTCAAATAAGGTATAACGATGCAAGGTATTTCATGGATTGATGAGCCATGAAAATCCTACCAGAGCAATTTGGTCAACGTGTTTTAGCTCGACTATCCCCTACAAGCATCAACAATCAAACCGACGACCAATGTGAGAACGACCTATGCAGCCGCCCTTCCGACGCGAGCCATTAATCCGTCTGCTGGCAAGGTAGGAGGTAATGTAGCTTTGATCATTTCAAAACCTTCTCACTCACCTAAGTCAGTCCCCGTCTCCACCATTCATCCTTTCTCCCCTCATCACTAGTGTATCGCTGACGTCTTTCTGACACAATGAGCAGTATATATATCGTCATCGATTATTTGTCTGCCCGCAAGAGAATGCAGTGAGAAGGGATTCATCCAATGTGTGGTCGTCTGTTTGCCTGATCGTTGTAGGTAGGATAGATACTTGGCAAGTTGGCTCCAGTGATTAGTAAATGGACGGACAGTGGCTGCAAATATTAGCAACAACTAATCGCTTAGATTTAGACTTGAAAGAAGGGGTGGGGGGGATTTCTCTAGTTCATATCCAATTCCAAGTAGACATATATATAATCGACAAGGAGCTTCGTCAAGCACCTTAATGGCCTCTTCTTTATCCATTGCGCCATCTGCGTCCAATCAAAACTTGCTCAAAGAATAATTCTGCTCAGTCGATTATCGAATCAAGACTCAAACCGAGACGCCCGTCTACTGCAAGCAAAACAATGGCATGCTCATGCAATACTTCTGGCACTTGTGCCTGTCAGTCGTCTGGTACCTGCCAGTGCGCTACTTCGTGCGGCTGCAGCAACTGCCCTGTACGTTGTCTCTCGGTATACTGCCTATATCACTCACAAATATACTAAATCTGTTCTAGAAGAAATAAGGAGGTGAAGTCAAGAAGGTTGCTACTGGGAATTATATGTGCTGTTGTAAACTTAGGCACATGTCACTCTGTATGTAGTTTCAATATGTACGCCTGCAACTAAGTTGGCAATCTTCCTACCTATGCTTTCCCCAAATAATCTACTCCGCTGTATCAAATTACGTCGCCATGGAAAAGGGTGAATACTGCCAATGTTCCCACTATATTAATCACTTAAACAAAAGACGTGCCAGGAAGCAGATCTACCGCATCGTGTGTCATTACCTAATCTTGTTGAATGGGGGTTTCCTAGAAGAGAATCAGCTCTAATGGCCGGGGAACTATGACTTCTCTCCCCAAGACTGTCCAAAGTTGGATACATGTCGTCATAATTTTTCTTGTTTTTTGTCATCTGAATGGCAAGCAGAGTGCCATATGTGTCTATCTACAGTGCTAGCCTCTCATGCCATCTCTCTTCTGTCTCATCGCTGAAAGAATATTCTATGTGCCACTGGAAGGATTTGTGATTGATCTCACAAATTGTAGTTCCTTTACTAGCAGACTCTCTTACTGAAAAAGCTCGACCAAACTTGATTTACTGGGCCTGAGCGTGAGCCAAGGCTTGCAGCTTGGCCTTTTCATCATCTGAGAATCCACCATACCATTCGCTGAAATTGGCAATATTTTCGTTGGCAGCCTTGACAAAGAACTCGGCTAGGTACTGTTGTGTTTCGTCGTCGCGGTTGCGCATGTTGTTTGACTCGAGGTAACCCATCAGGTCGCTTTTCGTGGCGCCCAAACTAAGGTCCACGGTATCGCCCTCGTCCTCCCAGCCGTCATCATCGTCGTCATCATCGACGAACTGTGCGGCGGCAGCGGCGGCAGCAGTTGCGGCGCTCTGCATACCCGAGGCAGATGCAAGCTCATCCACCAGCACCTTGAGGATCTTGAGGGGAGCAGGGATGATGGTAAACTGGTCCGGGTCTGAAAAAGTGTTAAACTGTGGTGCTTTGGGAGATGAAGAAGGATACTCAGACGTACTCTGCTTTGCCCGCGAGCGAGTCATTATCCTGTCGCTTGTAGGCATAATCATGTCGCCCTTGACCATGGTCTGAGCCAGTCTCGAATCATTAAGTGAATAGAGCTTCGAGAGCGCAATGACACTAGATATGTTAGCACTGTTGGTTTAAAAGGAGTGGGTGTAAGCTTACTTCTGTCGAATCTCATCGTAGCCAGAAAAGTTCACCGAGTTCTCCAGCCACTTGCTGAACACAACTTGGAGTCCATTTTGGCCTTCAATCTGAATGGTTCCGAGGAACTCGACAACATCCTGTGCGCCAACGAGAGAAAGTCGTGCAAAGACCAGAATCAACGATTGGATAAAAGGTGCAGCCTCTGCAGTTGCCAGTCGGTTTGCCACAGCTTGCAACAACTGAGGTAGGAATGGGCCCAAACGCTCATGACCCGCCTTCTCGACCAACTCAGCGGCCAAACCACCGACCTCGGATGCGGCATTATCTTCAATAGAGGTACTGAGCAATCGGTCAATGATGCGCAAACATACTTCCAAGCCAGAACGTCCATTTTCATCCTGGTAGTTGAACATTTGTTCGTGGTCATGGGCCAAGAGATACTTGACAGACTCTGCGCCAGGTCGAAGGATCTCTCCCTCGTTGCTCTCCGACAAAAGGCGGTTAAGTCTGGGCAGTGTCGTTGCTACAAACCCGGGAGGAAGAGGCTCCGTGCCATATTGAGTCAGGGCAGCCATCAATTCAGCGGCAAACTAGATCAATATTAGTCGCACTTCGAGACAAGCAGATTGTATAGGGAGATAAACATACAGTAACTAGCGGGTTGTCCGATGTGACGTTAGCAACATCAAAAGCGCCCGTCAGAGAAGGGAGTACTTTGGCGCACAAGGCAGCGTAGGACGCAGGGTCAGCCATGTTCTGGACAATGTCCTCGAAAGCCTCGCAGATCATCATGGTCACCTGCCAGTTCGAAGCGCCATGCTTTGCAATGAGGAACAAAAGGTCCAATGCAGGGACATCAGGTGAAACGGCAATTCGGCGGTCAATGTTGATGGCTGCGCGGAGAGTCTCGGCCAGTGTAACCAAAAGATCATCAGCCTCCTCAATATCAGTCATGTCTTTGCTGGCGATCCACTGCGAGACAGCATGCACGACGCTGGCCTGGGCTGGCTTCCGGATGGCGCCGCACCTGATAAATCCTTCGATGGCCTTGATGCAGGCTGCTTGGACAAGCTCGGACTCATCAGCAGTGATGGCATTCACAACCTGCTCGGCCAAGCCGGCAACGGCAGCATTGCTCTGAATCAAGACACCCGACACCAAATAGCCACGGGCACGCAGTAGTGGCTCGTCCGGTCTGTTGATGGCATAGTTGACACATTCGAGATATGCTTGTGTGATCTCCATGGGGACTTCAGTATCAATGTCCAAGAAGTCTGCCATCATCATATTAAGCAAGTATAGCGCAGCCTCTTGTTTTCTCCAAGATGTCTCGGCTGTAAACAGTGTCTTAGTGTGCGCGAAGAGCCCTTCGAGTGCTCTTTGCTTCAGCCACTCGCCCAACTTGATCAAGATATCGCCGGAAGCAGTTCGAGGCGTGTAGTTTGCGCTGACTGACGTCTCTTCAGCCAGAAATAGACCGACGTCGATCTCCCAGAGCTCTTGCTCCTCGCGTGCAATCTGAGCGTAGGATGTAGCCAGCTTCATGAGATCCAAAACCCATTGCGTCTCATGAACAGCGCCACTCTGGTCGATCTGGGCCTGTAGTTGTTTTTGCACGGGACCAGCCCTCAGACAGCCAGTCAAGAAGTCCAACTGCTCCAAAACAAGGAAGTCCAAAGTGTAGGGCAAACCGTCAGAGTCCTCGAGTCGGCCCTGAGCCTCATTTTCAATGTACATTCGTTCGTAGGCGGGCTCGAGAAGCGAGAGTTCTTGCCAAGCAGACTCGAAGAAGCCGGGCGTCTCTGGCAGCAGTAGTGCTGGGAATACGGCCTTGACCTTCATCAAGCACTTGACAACCTGCAGTTTGAGGGCAATGATGCCATTCCAACTCTCGGGTTGACCAGTGACCTGGCTGTCGATTTCTGGGAGAGGCGCTTTCATGACTTGGTGGAAGAAGGGGAACCAACCCTTGAGAGCTTCATCGGCAAAGCCCTTGACCTCCTTGGGGTGGTCGTCCTTGACTTGGTCCATGAGATCGAAGCAGCCCTTGAAGACTGAGATGGCCAGAGCTCTCAAGATGGGCTTTCGGTTCTCGTTGAGAGCTACATCATAGACGACCTTGACAATACTCTGCGCCATGCTGAAGAATTGCTCGTCGCTCAAACTCTCATCGACCAGGTCACTCAAAACCCTGAGGGCGCCATGGAGTTGACCATCGGTTCCGGTCGGAATGACGTTGAGCAAAGTCGGGAGCAGACTTGGCCATTGTTCGGGGAAGTCGGCATTGGCAATCTTGCTCACGGCGAAACTGTCGTCAACACACAAGTCAGCTTATACTCGTTTGCTTGCGCATTCGACTGCTGGAATCCAGAATGGAGGTGCTGAGGTAGAGTCAAACAGTCCCACGAAAGCAGGGTCTGAGACATATGTGCGACCGCACTTTATTTTCCCACATACCTGGCGGCGGTTTTGATCTTTCGCTCCTCATCTGAACTGAGGGCAATCTCCAACACGACAGCTCGAACCTGCTCTTTCACCTGGTCGGAAATCGGTATCACTGGGCCCTCGTCGTTCTCTCCCGTCCAGTTGTGCTCAATGAACTGGCGCAGGGACGAAAGGGCGGATTGACGGATCTCGAGCGTCACTGATGCATGGCTGCCGATGTTTGCCAGCGATATGGGGAAAGCTGGGTTCGTTCGGGCATGCTTCAAGTCCAACTCGGCCTGCTTGCGAGGGCCCTCGGCGGCCGAATGCGTGTTGGCAAGGATCTGGACGAGTTGATCCTCCATGTTGGGCCGATTTTGTTCTGCGCAGCTTCGTTGGAATGCGGATTGAAACTCTCTGTGAATCTCGTATGATGGACTGCGCACCGTCGGCGGGCGACTCGAGGTGTGGATTGCTTTGTCGGATGCGGTGTACGTAGTAGTAGGTGGTGCAGGCCCACCTAAAACAACTAGGTTACTAGATGTATGAACGAAGTTGGTGGATAGCAGGCAATAAAGTAATGCCAGGCTTGGAGTTTGTTGTGATTAATTGCGACCTGGCGGGTCGAGTCCAAGTACAAGGGAACGAGTTTCCAAGGAAAGACCCGGGACTATAGAGACGGTGACAAGGTTCCTTCAAAAGAGGTGTTGATGTACCAAAGGATCTTTCTTGATGCCAAGGAAAAGGTCGAGGTGCGGGACGCGTTTGAGCGTTTGGGCCCCCGTCGATCCCGACTTTTTGGCAACTGCCGGACAAGCAGATACCCCAAGTGGGAAAAAAAAAAAGTGATATAGGCAGTGTATTCGTTTTGTTGGCATGCACAGAGGCGACGATGCCTACTACATTGGACAATTGGACTGAGATCACTTGAAATTCATAATCATGACCACTATATTCTGTCTTCCAGGATCAGTAAAGATAGCATGAGCGGGTTGTCCCAGGAGGAAAAAGAAACCAATCGAGGACGAACTTAATTATTCGAAGTGCCTACAGAGTACACAAGCCCGTTGCTGCCTCGGTAGAGAGGTTTCACTATTTTAGCAGAGACCATCAGTATAACGGGGGCCATGGATTGATGTCTCAATTACCTTGCAGCTCGTGTGTCGCGTCACCAATTACCCCTCTTACTACCCCTCTACGCGTCTGCCTCCCTCTAATTCTTTGGGGGCGCAATCCCCGTGCGCCCGGGCATTTTCGAGCTTCAGAAACAGCTAAACGGGGCCCCTAGAAAACAAAACCATTGATGGCTAAGAAACCCAGGCCGCCATGCATGTGATCTCATCGCAACGCTTGTCTTTTAGTGAAACGATGCAACATCAGTTAAAGCTGGAACTACTGCACCTTTGCCAGCAACCAGTTCGCATACTTTAGGTCGACCCACGAAAACAGCCCATAGCGGTGAACTGTCCACTAATGGAGACCAAGCACACATGCATTTCTGTTGTCGCAGTATCTGGCTCTGTCTAGTGTATCTATAGTAGAGAGAGGTGCTGAACCGATTATACCAACCGGACTTCGCCATGCCATCGGAACTGCATCATGGCCCTCTCACACTCACCGTGACGCAGTCATCCCACCTCTTGCTCTCGTTTACGCATTTCCTGACTGTTGCCATTCACAATGTGCTGTTCTACCGGTCTCTATACCCACCCACAACCTTCCTCACCACCCGGGCCTACAACCTGGCAGTGCACCAGTCGCGCCACCCGGCCGTGTGCAACTGGATTCGCGATGCCGTCGACGCCATCCGTGCGCAGCTTGTGCTCGGCTCCGTCAGCCGCATTGCCATTGTGATCCACGCCCCAGACTCCACGGTACTCGAGCGGTGGATGATTGATGTGGCGCAATTCCCGGCCTTCAAGGGATACAAGGAACCCAGAGGTAACCGCAGAGACGAGGAAGACGACGGTGTGGGGGCTCCGGAACGGGTCCCGATCCCGGGAGAGGACCGCGGCGGGGTCGACGCCGGGGCGCAGAGCAAGGCACGACGGGTCAACTGGACCGATGTGGACGAGGCGTTCCGGGCTGCCGTCAGACGCATGGCGCTGGCTGGCGAGAAGATGTCGGCACTGCCAGAGGGCTGCAGCTTCACCGTCGCAGTAGAGCTTCGTGATGAGAGCGAGGCTCCGATCGGGGTAAGTGCACCACCATACTGACCTCGACAATATACGAGAATGCTAAAAAAGAAGAGCAGTACCCGCAATCTTGGATTCCATCTGAGCCTCATCTCCAGCCATCGTCCAAAGACAAACCTGTACCTGGTGGAGATATCGGCGGTGCCAAGACCACACCCATAAGGTCAGTCGAGGTCGGGCCGTTATTCTTCGAGTGTTGGGTTGAAGAAGGGAAAACAAAGGGAGATTTACCCTCCTCAAGTACATCATCCGACTGAAGACCAAGCTACGCCACTCACAGGCTGCAAGCGAAAATAAAGTACTCCATGATTTTTCAATGAATGCATGAACTTTCCAGACATAAGTCGAACTATAAAATTTGACAATGGAAACGAGTGAATACAGTCAATCAAGGTCATTTGCAAGGGTAGATATTGCTGGTGATGATACAATTGATTCATTAATTCATAATCCGAGTGTAAACCCAATGACTCTTGGGTACCTCCCTTTTCCTTTTCGTGACTTTCATAACAATCTCATGTGCTTCTTTCTCAGCACCTTACTTGAATTCCCCTTAGTGTTCGTACAAGTTCCTAGAGCTTGGAACAACCTTAGATGATGCCACCTCCGAATCCGCCGAATCCACCTCCGCTACCACCAAATGGGTTGTTGCCAGAGCCGGGGCCGCGACCACCCAATCGTGGATGTCCGCCCGGGCCGAGAGGATCATACCGCGCTCCAGGAGGTACTTGTGGGTCAAGCCCGGACGATGCACCACCATCACCAAATAGATCGTCAAACGTCGGGTGCATACCTCGCGATCCTCCGGGTCGCGGTAGTCCGCCACCGCCGAGTGATGGTCGGAGGGGATCGTGAGGACCTAGTCCCGGAGGATGAAGATCATCTGCTCCGAGATTCCCAAAGGGTGATATGCCTGGCGCCATCCCAGCACGAGGAGGGCGATGAATATCGTACGGATCCTCGAAGCCCGGAGGAGGGAAATCACCAGCCGGCACCGGGCGCCTTGGCGGGGGGTTCAGGGGGTCTTCGAAGCCGTAAGGGTTTGCTGGCTGCGGAAGAGGGTCGGGCATTTGTGGGTTTGGCCTGGGCCCACGACGGCCAGTCTCATCGGCATCTTGTATGGCGGCACGGTCGTCGGGCGATTCCTCATAGCCCTCCTTTTGCAGTGAAGGCAGCAGCTTTTGAACAATCTGGACCTTGATCAAGTTGGCAAGGTCTGTGACGCGGCCGTCATTGATAAAGACTGCCAGCAGCTTCTCAGCCAAGTCGGATCGGTCCTCTTCAGAGTCGCTGGTCAAAGTAATACGGACGGGGAGAGATCCGTTTGAAACGTAGTCCTTGATAGTGACCTCGGCCCTTGCGATGCGGTCATCCTCGATTGCAACACCACGAATCTCTGCCTTGCCACCAATTCTGTCGACTTTGATAACAAACTTCAGTGCTGATTGCGAGTGCGCATAGACAAAAGAGCAAGTGTTGAAGGATGCGTTCCAGTTTTCCGGGAGGCGCGGGGCAAGCTCTCGGCATTTGGCTTCGATGGTCTTTTCCTCATCGAAACCGAGTAGGCGAAAGCCGAGGGAGTCCATGCAGGCATGCGCAAAGAGGGCGAGAGCTTCGTGCGAGCTACTAAGGTCTGAATTTGTATCGCCTTTGGGGTGTGTGGGAAGAGCTTCAGCCATCCCCTTCAGGATGGCGGAAGAATGCAGAGGATTTGTCATTCTGCTTCCTTGGCTAATGGCCAACGACACGGAATTGCGATTATTTGTGAGGGTTTGCGACCGAGTTCCACTTCAGTCTTCCAGTGAGAATAGATCGACGTGAAAGATGTACAGAATGTGAAGTGATGATGTTTGTATCAATGAGAAAGCTTGTCGCTAGGCAGCTCGTTGGGCGACATATATATAAGGGAGCCTACGGCCCGGGGTGCCTCTGTGACTTATCTCAGTCCAGACCATCCGCCTGGATCATATTGTGCAACTTTCACTGGCCATGGAATTTGTTGATGATTGGGGAGAATTTATGCCATGGGCAGGGGCTTTTGCACTATTTTCTCACTTCAAACTTATGCATTTTACATGCGCTGGATGCCACTCACCCGGCGCTTTCCCATGAACGACTTCTGGTGTGCGAGATAACCTATTGTGTGACAGGCTCCAGCTGTAAGCGTCATGTCTTGGTTGCCTCCATTGAGTGTGGGGGAATTCTAAAACTCGAATGATCAAATAATTAAGGTAAAATACGTTTGAAATTCACAACTGCTTGCCCATCAAATTACATCCTTGAAACATTTCGTTCTTATTTTTGAATTAATACCTAGATCGTAATATTCATTCCCCCAAAATTTAAAAAAAAAAGAAAAAAAAGTGTGTTTTCACTCTCTCTCGGGTATGACAGTAGTACCAAGTCCACTGTGACAAGGCTGCTTTTAGTTTTAGCTCCAGCTTGACCTTCCGGCTCTTAAATCACAGCTCTTCACACTTTACCTGACTTGATTCTCTTTGTAACAAAACGCAGCTCTTGTTGCGGAGCCCCCGCCGGCCGGAGCTACTCCTATCACCTCGTACCTGTTATTTTAAAAACCTACCTCACGCGAGCCTTCCTTTGACATCTGCACCAACACGAGGTTATGTCTCCCTTACCTGAGGTATCCAGGTCAGGCGCATTAGGGTGTCTTGGGGTTACCCCTTCTACTCATGGCCAACACCTTGGTCCTTGACATTCCCCGACACTTTCTTGTTGGCTGCTTCAGCCGCTTTTTTTCCGCAGTAGCTACCTGAACAATCTTCAAGTATCTGATTGAATACATGTAGTGACATAGACGTCAATCGCAGCAGCTGTCACATACGAGCAGTCGTATTCGTGGTTGCCGTCAGTAACATTCGTTTGCGCGCGCCATCACTGCTCTCGCTGTTTTGTTTCCAAGACGTTTGATAACATTCTTTTTTTTCCCTCCCGCCCACTTACTGCCAAAGGCGACGACATTGAAACGCCCCGTCACATGTACATCTCCTGTCACCAACAAACGACTTTACATTGCCATCATAATCTAGCCGCCTCAGCGACTCACTTTCTGCCACAAGGGTTGCAAGCCGGTTGTCTTTAAATTGAAGGAGGTTGTTTCTGTCCGACTGCACCGCTCACTCTCATCCGATCGATCTCTCAGCCTCATTACTGCAACGTAAGTCCCAGCCTTTCCTTGGCATCCGGATACATAATTTCTTCCAACTGTGTCATTGGAAACATCAACTCGACTTGGAGCGGCCTTGGGGGTAGTTGCTGTTGGCACGGCGTAATTCCTTTTGGCGCTTGCTCCACTCATCCGCGACCCGGAATCTATCACAACTATTGTTCCACAACCGCCTAGCTTCAAGCACATGAAAAGGCCGTCCCCCTCAAAGCTGCGTCACGCGATCTGGATTCATCACACTCGGCGTTGTCACCATTGCTCCGTAGCCCTTCATCTTTATCTGGAAGCAACGGGAAGCAGACAGGCGACAGAGCTGACTGTTTCCAGGCAGGATAATTCAAGAGAGCAGACGCACATACCGTGACTTCGTGCCCCTGAGGGGGCTCACTCGGAGGGGTTCATCACCAATCAAGACAACATCCTACCGAGGCTTAGGTGTTTCCTGGGATATTATTTGTAGCGAGAACGAATATTGCGAGAACATCAGTCACGCAACCACAAATGGATGACTCCTCTATAGCAGGTGCAGACAAGACGTCATGCACTGACCAAGTCCAATTACTCTTCCAAGATATTGACCCAGAGCATCTAGAAGAGGTCGCTCGGCAGCACTTGTTCGACGTCCAGGCCACCATTGCAGCGATTCTCGACAGACAGGAACAAGGTGAGCATTACCCACGCCGGGCTAATTCCTTGAAACGCAAGCGCAGCTTGGGTGGTAGTGGGGAAGCAAAGGAAGAATACGACGAAGACAGTGACGGCAGTAGCCATGAAGATCCTAGTCGTGACGTGAGGGCCAAGATCGAGGACCCGCGGTACTTTCAAGAGACAGCCTCAGCCACAGCATACAAGAACATGGCAATGACGCTCATAAGTCAGGACTTTCCTCTCGTTCCGAAGCGAACAATCAACCCCACACTGTTGCTTGACAACGACAACTCGTTATACAAGACCTACATTGCTATTGATGAAGCGACGAGGAATTGGGATCTAAGCAAACCCAAATGGATCCCGAAGAAGACTCGCACGAAAGCCTTGGACGTCTACTCTCCATCGCGAATCCTGCACCTGGACCGAAGAAAATTTGGGCCAGAAGAATGTGTGGCGCTGGATGAGTTTCTTGCTGCGAGACGAGTGAAGGCCGAAAAGGACGCAGAGCAACTGAATTTGGTAGAGTCAAGAAAGAAAGGCGAGATGGAAGAATGCGGTTGTTGCTTCGATGAGTTCCCTCTCAACCGAATGGTGCACTGTGAAGGCACTACTTTACATGTGAGTAATTTTCTGGGTAATGTATCCCTCCCAATGGCAGAATTTGTAGCGCTGTTATAGCCCACGAGTCTCAATCGCAAGGTAGAAAAGACAATCGCTGATCTTGTATATTGCAGTGGTTCTGCCGGCAGTGCATGAAACAGCAAGCGGAAACCTTGGTAGGTGTCGGACAGTTTCATCTCACCTGTCTCTCGATGGATGGCTGTTCTGCTGGCTACTCTCGTGCTCAAAAGAAAACTTTTCTCGACAAAAAGCTTTCAGTTGCCATAGATAGGAATGAAGCAAAGGCTGCTCTCGAAGCGGCTGGGATAGAAAACCTCGAGACCTGTCCCTTCTGCCCAATGGCCATGGAATATCCTCCAATATCAGAGAACAAGGAGTTTCGCTGCACCAATCCCAGCTGCGAGGCTGTGAGCTGCCGATGTTGTCGCAAGCAGACACACATTCCCAAGACTTGTGCCGAGGCTGCTGAAGATGAGGGCCAATCAGCAAGACATACCATAGAGGAGGCCATGAGCGATGCAATCATTCGAAAGTGTAACAAATGTAACATAGCCCCAAAAACCCTCACATGCCTTTGAAAATGGCTAACGTATAACAGGCACTCAGCCATATATCAAACTGGATGGTTGCAACAAGATTCGTTGCACACGCTGTGGTACACTTCAGTGCTACGTATGTAGGAAAACTGTTGACAATTACTCGCATTTCAACGACTCGACGCGAGGGGGTAAGACCGGTCAATGTCCGCTATTTGACTCAACGGAGCAGCGTCATCAAGACGAAGTGAAGACCGCAGAAGAGGCCAGTCGGACGCGAGTTGTGAGGGAAAATCCAAATTTGGTAATATCTCAATTTTCTTGATCATTCTCTACCTTATCCATCTCCTTTCTCTCTCGAAGAGAGATCGAGGACAGTATCAATCATATCGCTTGGCAGGTAATGCACCTGAACTGAATCAGCGATTTTATTACCTCTGATTGAGCAGTTCTCATTATGGCTTAGCTTCCATTTCCACAGATAACCGAACGCTCCATGTTTAGCGATGCTTAGTTGGCGTTGTCCCCGATACACATCAATGCTCAATTCATACTAATTATTCATGGTGTAGACCGACGAGGCTCTGAAGTTCAAGGTCTCTCCTCGCGTCCTAGAAGACGACCAAAATCATCTCATGAGGGACGCAAATGGACAAGAACCACTACAACAAGAGCGCAACCGCTTGCAGAATTTATTTAGACGACGGCAGGAAGATGGTGGTCTGGCTATAGCTAGACATGCACAGTATCTAGGGGTCATTCAGAACAGGAATCAATTGCGCAGAGCAGAAGTTGGGCCTAGAAACCCCCAGCGGCCTGTTGCGCATAGACAGGGCGCACATCAAATATTCGTCCAAATGGGACATCAGCAACCATTCTATAATGACCAGCGCCCTGTACTCGACAATGCATTCAACAATGAACTCAACATTGCACTCGACAATGCTATCAATGCAGAAAATGAACTCGGCAATGGGCTCGAAAATGCTGCCAATGTACAAGCCGCACTTGGACAGGAACCACGACATCAAATCAGGCAAGCAATGCCTAAGAGGCTTCGAAATATGCCGCCTGGCCTACCAAATCATGCCCAGGCGGCCGTTGCGGCTTTCCCTCTGCCAGAGCCTGGTCAAACCGCCGCCAACCCGATCATCTTGGATAACAAGACGACGACAGTTGCAGATGATATGAATATGGCATTGCGTAATCGTAATGCCTTCCTTCCCCCCATGGTCCACCAAGACAACGAAGCACTAGCGCCGCTGGGACAAGATTGGATCCGTAATGAAAATCAGTTACCAAGACAGAATTATGGCCAACAGGGACCAAATCACGCACAGGGATTCGTATATATTCCTCCCTTTGGAGGCATACAGGCAGTTCCCCCAGGCGCAGAACCACACCCAGAGAACAGAGCTAGACCCGCGTGGACGTAGGAGACCCGTTCTAACGATGCTTCGCACGGGGGAAATTCTTGGCCTGGCAAAGATGAGACATGATAGTGGCTGCTCTTATATAAGGCGTGGATGGTTACTGAGAGAGCGGAGTGCTTTGACTGCCCCGGAGCGACGGGAGATCTTTTGTCAGCATCTTAGTCGACAGCGCTCGTATTTTGTATCTACATTAGCATATGACAATAGTTCTTCTCCTTAGCTGTAGTGAATGTTCACGTTACCAATCCTTGTGTGGATCTAGCCGAACCTGAATCACTGCACTTGGAACGGATATGAGTGAGTACGTACTTTCAGAAGATCATTTATGTAAGAGCGCAACCAGGAGTGATTATTCATTCTTTGAAAATGGTGTCGTTCAACTTATATCTGTATAGAGCTATGCAGAGAAGTGGTAACAGTAATTGCGCAGCAGAAGACGATTTGGTGTAAACTCAATCGCCACGAACACCACCACCACCACATGCTGAATGATTTTCGAGTTGATACGCGCGCAGAATGATCTTGCGCATGTATCCTACAGACAAGATGGAACACGTCTCACGACCAACAATACTTCTCATTTGCAACCCACTCGACCTGGCTGGCATCACCGTCTCCGAACCACATCAAACTGGGGATGCTATCATTCTCCCGCTCGGCCACGTCGTGATCAAGGCCGCTCTCCTTGATCAGCACGTCCATGGCGGGCGTCGGGTTCCAGAGCTCAATCTTGCCGACCCGTGCCAGTCTGGCCTCGGCCTGGGCCTTGTGCATGATGGCGGCAAAGGAAGCAGCCAGCTCCTCGCGCGGCGCCGACTCGTCCTCGAACACCAGCCGCAGAATGTACATGGTATTCTTATCGACGGTCTCGGCGTTGTAAAAGCTCCGTGCCCATATGGCCCAAACACGCTTTCCCTCTGGCCCAGCAACCGCCCCCTTGACCTTGGCCAACTCCTGTCCCTTGAAGAGCCGGCTGGCGATGAATTCGTCTCTGAAAAGAGCCCACCGTAGAATATCGTAGTCGGGAGCAAAGGCAAACTGCGGCCTTGCTCCTTTTGCATTATTCAGTAGTTGTTTACGCAGCAGTTCTTCGTCACGCTTGCAAAACGACTCTAAATTCTCGTAGGTGATGACCTCAACTTGGTCAGGCGCTGGTGTCGGTACGCCATTTGATACTTGTTGGCTTGTTTCCGGGACCCGGAAGCTGACATGAAAGCTCGGACATACGGCCCATCCGAGCTTGGCGTAGAAGGATTTGCCAATATCACTCCAGAGAGCGCTGGCAATGGGCTTGACATGCTTGCCATCTATGGTCTCAAAGCCCTTTTCGAGCTTTGGGATGAGCTCCTGCAGCATACGGCTGGCATAGCGTTTCCCTCGGTAGTGGGGGCTCGTGTATACGCTGCCGAGGCCGTAGGCAATGCCCTCCCGCAGGGTGCCCGTCTTGGGGTCCGTGACCAGGACCCTCTTGCGCAGCGTCTCGCAGCTCGAGAGCACGGGGCGGCTGCCGGGGGCGCCCGTGGCCGTGGTCAGGATCCAGTACCGCAGTCCGCCATTCTCCGAGAGCGGTATGGAAGCCACATAGGGTTCTCTTTCCAGATAATCCTGCAGGCCGAGCGCGCCGCCCCATTCGGCGTGGTTCTGGATCCACGTCTGTCTCTTTTCCTCCTCGGTTGGGACGACGAGCCTCAGCTCGGGCGAGTTCGCGTCTGGAAACTCTCCAATCGAGCCCATTGTGTCTTGAAATGAACGTTGGTCTAAAGGTCCAAAGGAAAAGGATGCCTCTCACGATGCACAGGTAGTGATCAGTAGGCAAGCATGTGATTTGCTGCGATAGGATAGCTAGCTGGCAGAGCAGATTGTAAGCTGCCGATATGATTAGATATGATGAGAGCACAGGACAAACTCGTAGGAGGTGCAATAAATATATTAGACGAGAATGAATGCCAGGGAGAAGAAGACCTCATAGAGAATCCAGGGAAGCACAGGGAAGAAGAGCAGGTCAATCCCGCGGGCAGTGGGTCCCAGGGTTGCTAATGTATCCTTTTGGTTCATGTACTTTAGCCACAGTAGAGAGACGCAAGCTAACAAGAGTAAGGTCGTTATGTCCTGTACTAGGGGGACAATCCCCCGGACTGTCATTTTTAAATCAAGCAAGTGCCTCTCTAATCCACAAGCGGTGCAATGGGCCACAGGGATGTCTTCGTGTACAACTGACGTAAGGTATAGGTACAGATGTAAGCCGCAACAAGGGGCCCCTGGTCGGATCTTGCTGCTATAAGGCCAGCCGATAAGTCCATGTGCATGGAAGAAATGGACGAGATGGGCAGGCCAACGAGATGGAGGGCGGGCCCGGAGTGTCTCTTGTGTGTGTGTCGTCTTCATATTATTGTGCTGGTTGTTGAATTGCCCTTCTTCAGCCCCATTTCCAGGGTCCCTTTCCCCGGTCTTTCGCCCGTCTGTCTGCCTGTTGATCGGCTCCGAAAGGGAAGAGTGGCATTCCTTTTTTCTTCAAGCCAAGGGATAGTACAGAACACACTGCCGCGCCAAAATCGCCAACGTACAAACATCACTTCATCATAGCCCTACCCCGGAATCCGGCGTCACTCCCTCCCATCCTTAATTTCCCCCCGCAAAAGGACGGGTAAGAAGTTAAGTGGCAGGGCTGAGGAAACTGGCGGGGGGTCACTTGACCTTGATTAGGGACCGAAAGATAGTCGCAACGTGGAACTAAGAAGTTTATGTACATCAAAGCTTGCCTTTCTGTGCCCAGACACGCTGTCTTTGATAGCGGCGGGCCAATCACGCCGGCGCCCCAGGTCATCGGTTGACAAAGAGAAACGGCAGGATCCGGAGGTGGGAACACGGAGAGCCATGCGGAGCCGATGGAAACCGAAAGAGTTCGGCTCTGGCCACCATATGGGCGGCGGGGAAGAAGGAACGAGTTTACAAGTGTCAGGCGACGCTTTGAATGGGCTCAAGCGACGGATCGACTGGTAATTTACTTGACGGCTACATTACCTAACCATACGATGCTGCTGACGCTTCGTTGAAACCAAAATCTGTCGAGGTCGTCGCCGTAGTCGATGGCGTTTCTTATCTAGAGCTTTAATCCCGGCGTGTACCTGCCGTACCTAGCTACCTGGAGCATGTATAAACCGATCATGTGCCCCTAAAAGTCGAGTCGCGATCCCGCTGACATGCAAGACAACATTGGACAACACGTATGAAGTGACTGTCTTCGGGATGCGATGCAAGTTTGTTCCTTCCAAAAAGAACGTGTGCCCGCATAAAATGACTGCAGACCTCAAACTCAAAATCCGGCCCCCTAAGAGGGACTGAGTCACCAAATTGTCATTCCTCGGATTCAGAGCTATTCACTTCGTGACAGAGCATGATCCAACCCATTCATGATACCTAGGCTACATGGCTATTCAATCTCGTGCTAGTGACTCAACTCATGTGTAAGACAAGAGACGAAAGTTGCATGCAGATGAGCTCTCAAGAAACATTCTCGGTTCTCTTAACCGCAGCTTATGAAACACAAAAAAAAAAAAAAAATGAAATGGCATGCCGAATACTAAACGTTGCGCTGATAGGGTGGGCCCAGCCAGGGGTATCCATCGTCCATACCCAAGGGGGAACAGGATGGCTTCATTTGGCAAAGCAGGTCGTTGATTTTCCATCACACCTTGTAGTCGAAATGTGACCCAGGTATCGACGGTGAACAACAGCAAGCATACTGTAGACCTGGGATATTGAATAACAAAACTTGCAGAGCAGGAACGCCTTAGTCAATTCTCATGTCTCATCCGTATTTTTATTAGTGCTGCCAAGCGTTCCATCTCTATTGGGTACATCCATCTAGATTTTCATCCCTGGAAACGCCTCGCAACTATCAAGTACTTTATCCCAATCCCTCTAGTGGCCGTGGCCGTCGTCTTCCGGCCTTTCCTCCGGATCCAACTTAATCAGGGTATCAATTCTCATGATGGCAATAGTTGCTTCCACTGCACTCTTCAACTGCCGGACCTTGCTGATTGAGGGTTCCAGAACACCAGCCTTGACCTCATCTTGAACCTTGCCCCGGGCCAGGTCGAGACCGTAGTTTCGGTAGCCCTTCATGCGCGCAATGGACTTCTCATCCAGAGAGGCATCGCCTTCTTGTGTCCGCTGCGATACAGCGTGTCTTGCTCGTAGTTGTGCTACCAACTCGCTGGCATCCTTTGCCGCGTTGACGGCGAGCGTCTTGGGAATGACCAGGAGAGACTGGGCAAACTCGCCAATGGCCAGTTGCTCTCTTGAGCCGACTGTACCGGCGTACTCCTCGAGGTAAATGTGCAGAGCCGTCTCAACTGCACCACCACCAGGGACAACCTTTCCGCTCTCAAGCGTGCGCTTCACGGCGCAAAGCGAGTCGTGTACGGAGCGCTCCATCTCGTCGAGGGTAAATTCGTTGGGTCCACGAAGCACGATAGATGCTGAGGAGTGCGCCTTTGTGCCCTTCACCAGGATACACTCGTCGTCCGAAATGCGCTCCTGTACAACCTCTTCTGCGTGACCCAGGTAAGAGGGCTCGAATTTCTCGTCTCCGTTCAGGTCGGAAAGCGTACTCAAAAGAGTACCGCCAGTGGCCCTTGCAATGCGTCTCAAGTCCTCCTTCTTGCACCGTCTCACAGCCATGGCACCACGCTCGACAAACATCTTCAAGCACATGTCATCGATACCCTTGGTGGTGAGGACAACATTTGCACCGGACTTCAGGATCATCTCGACTCTCTCGAGCACCATGCCAGACTCTCGCGCACGAATCTGCTCAAGTTGCTGGGGGTCGTCCACCGTGATCTGTACACCCAACTTCATGCGCTCCTTTTGCAGGTTCATGTCCAAAAAGGCAATCTTGGCGTCTTGTATCGAGGTGGGCATGGCCTGAGAAGCAACAGTGCAGTTGAGAGCATAGCCCTTGACCAGGACCGATTCGGTTGCAGACTTGCCGTGCGCCTTGAGAATGTTGACTGCCTTTACGGGGTACTTGACTTCACCCTTGTTCGTCGAGGTCTTGACAGACTGAATAGCGTCGACAACCATGTTGGCAAAGAAATCAGAGTCAGCTCCGATGATCTTGCTGGACATGGAGGTCTTTGCGATGCTAATGAGGGACTCGCGGCCCAGCTTCGCCACAGGGATGCTAATGTTGTCATTCATGTACTTGATGGCTTCTCTCTGTGCTAGTCGGTAGCCGGTAATGATGGTAGTTGGGTGGATTTTGTTCTTCATCAACTCGTTGCCGCGTCGCAGCAGCTCGGCGGCGATCAGGACCACAGAGGTGGTTCCGTCTCCCACCTCTCTGTCCTGCTGGTGTGCCAGATCAACCAGAATCTTGCCGGCCGGGTGCTCGACATCGAGTAGGCTGAGAATCGTGGCGCCGTCGTTGGTCACGGTGACATCCTGGAGGCAATCATTGGTCAGCGCTGCTGCAGTGCGCCGTGGTTTCTCCTTTTCGCATTTCACTTACACCAATGTCGTCCACCATCATCTTATCGAGGCCACTGGGACCGAAGGAGCTCTTGACAACGTTGGCGATAGCTTGCGTAGCCAGAACTGCAACAAGTCAGCAAGTACTCGACGTTCTATCGACATCAGATGAACCCACCATTCTGGTCTCTGATATCGGCGCCAGAAATCTTCTGACCGCCGAGGAACAGAGTCCCATTTCTGGGCTGTTCAAACATGGAAGCCATTGTTGTGTGAAGAAAAGGGGGAAGCTTTTCGGCGGCAGCTCCAACAAGAAGTCGATGGGTCTTCGGGTGTTGGGAGGTTGAGGTTTTGTGGTGCTGCCCGGATGCCTAGCTCTTGAAGATGCTCTCTGTGTCTCTCCCTATTGACTTTGAGCTCTACGCACTCTGCTAGGTCTGCTCCCTACTAAGCACTGGAGCCCAGGCTCTCACAAAAAATTGGCGGGGCTTCTAGTTTTTCCCGCGCCGGCAAGGAGCTAGGGAGGTACCGCCCGGCAATGGAATATGTTAGGCTCTAGAATCTTCAGTTTAAGCACATGTTATTCACTAAGCGAGGGGCAGACTTGGGCGATGTTTGCCCCTGTCTATAGCACCCAAGTTTACCAATTATAGGCCAAGTCCAGCACACCGTTTTGCACCTAAACAGTCTCTTTACCCCTCCAAAAATTCACAGGGTCCCTGTCCCTCTCCGCAAATCGCTCCTTCTCAATTGAGGGGCAGCAGCCGTACCAAATTTCGGAGGACGCGTTGACACAATTCAGGCCCAATCTGTCGCAGTGACTCAGAACGGTAATCAGCCTGATCCAAATAGTTAATTGAAACCGTGTCACGCCGAAGGGCTCATAGTCGTGGTTCAAAAGAAAAGGTGAGAGGTTCCTCGAGTTTTAGTTTGCAGTTTTGTCCAGAAATTTCTTTGGGAGAAAAAGCAATGTAGCCCGTCTTTTGATTCTCTTATCAACACAAATCACTGATACAAAAATGGGGTTTCATAGTGTCGGCGCCAACCCCGCCGAACAGCGAATAACCAGCAGCGCTCCCGTCGATAGCAACGACAACTTGAACATTATTTCCGGAAAGCTCTGGTTGAACAGCGATATCTTGATCCATCCTGTGGAGCATTATTGGACTACCAACTTCGACACAACACATATCGAGCGAGTCAAATCGAATCAAGCCAAAATGGCCGAGACTGTCGAGAAAGCCAAGGATGCCGTCGCCGCTGTCGCAGAGCAGGTGAAGAACGTTACTGTCGGATCCGGCGAGCAGTCCGCTGAGGGAGACAAGGGCCCCTCCAAGAGCGCCCAGAAGAAGGCCGAGAAGGAGGCCAAGAAGGCTGCTGAAAAGGCTGCCAAAGCTGCCAAGTTGGCTGCCGCTCCTGCTGCCAGCGGAAAGAAGCAGGAAGACACCCTTGGTCTTACGGTCACCAAGACCGAGAACTTCCCGCAATGGTACCAGGAAGTCGTGCTCAAGTCTGAGATGATTGAGTACTACACTGAAATCTCGGGTTTCTTTGTCATGCGCCCCGCCACCATGTACATCTGGAACGTGATCCGCAAGTGGTTCACCGAGAGAATCGAGGCCATGGGCGTCGACGAGACAAACTTCCCCATGTTCCTGTCCTCCAAGTCTCTCGAGAAGGAGAAGGACCACGTCGAGGGTTTCGCCCCCGAGCTCGCTTGGGTTACCAAGGCGTAAGTCTCACCATTGTGCAAACTGATTTTCTTGCCGTAGCCTGCAGAGACTGACCATTTCTCCAATACTAGTGGTGACAAGGATCTCGAGGTCCCTGTTGCTGTCCGCCCGACCTCTGAAGCCGTCATGTACCCCTACTACTCAAAGTGGATTCGATCTCACCGTGATCTTCCTCTGAGACTGAACCAGTGGAACTCCGTCGTCAGATGGGAAGCCAAGCAAACCACTCCTTTCCTGCGTGCTAGGGAGTTCTTGTGGCAGGAAGGTCACACCGCTCATTTGACTGAGAAGCTCGCCGGCGAGGAGGTCCTTGAGATCCTCGAGCTGTACGCTGGTGTATATGAGCAGCTCTTGGCTGTTCCCGTCGTTCGGGGTACCAAGACCGAGAACGAGAAGTTCGCTGGTGGCTACTACACCACCACTGTGGAGGGTTACATTCCTTCGAACGGTCGTGGTATCCAGGGTGCCACCTCTCACTGCCTTGGTCAAAACTTCAGCAAGATGTTTGACATCACCGTTGAAGACCCTGCTGAGAAGGGTAAGCACCTGAACGTGTGGCAGAACTCGTGGGGTCTCTCGACTCGTGTCATTGGTGTCATGGTCATGATTCACGGTGACGACAAGGGTCTGGTTCTTCCCCCAAGGATAGCCAAGGTCCAGGTCATTATCATTCCTCTGGGTATCACCAAGAACACTACCGAGGAGGCCAAGGCTGCACACTACGATCAGCTCGCTGACATCAAGGCCACTCTGAAGAAGAGCGGTGTTCGTGTCGAGGACGACCAGAGAGATGGTTACACCCCCGGCTGGAAGTTCAGCGACTGGGAGCTCAAGGGTGTCCCTCTCAGAATTGAGTTCGGCCCCAAGGATGCTGCAAATGGCGTTGTCACTTTTGCTCGTCGTGACAATGGTGAGAAGGGCACCATCCCCATTGCCGATGTGGCTGTCAAGGTCCCCGAGCTTCTGGAGACTATCCAGAGTGACATGTATAGGAGGGCTGAGAAGGCTTTTGATGAGCACCGAATTGTGGTTGACGAGTGGGAGAAGGTCATTCCTTCTCTCGATGCCAAGAATGTTGTCCAGATTCCCTTCTGTCTCGAGCCTAAGTGCGAGGACAAGATCAAGGAGCTCACCACTGGCAAGCAGGATCAGAACCCTGATCTTTCTGTTCCCCAAGCTCCTTCCATGGGTATGAAGAGTTTGTGTATTCCCTTCAAGCAGCCCAAGGAGGTTGTTGCTGGCCAGAAGTGCCTGAACCCCGAGTGTCAGGCCGAGGCCAAGAAGTACGTCATGTTCGGTCGCAGCTACTAAGCGTCTATAATTCAATTTCCTTACATTGGCGTTCACGTCGGCAAGAAGGATCGACTTGGCATATGATTGCTTCGCAAAAACAAATGAGGACATGGCAATGCGAGATATCCAAACTAGTTGCTCAGGAGTTGGTGATTAGATCGTTTCGATCAATGGGTAAATAAACGGTAGATGATACAATCTCTTCCTATTTCACGAAATACTGGTTCATCATAAATATGGGCGGCATTCCTAATGTCTTGTGAAGTTCCGGCCTGCCCCATTCGATATCCCTGAAAGGACGTGATATATGTTTTCGTCGTGCTTCCGAACACGAGAGGCGTACGAGGTCCCGACATTCCATGGTTGCCCTGGAATCTAAGCAATAGTAGAAGATCATGAGGGTACAAAAAATACTTGAAGTAGATGTTTCGATCCTCGATGATATTTACTGGAGCTGGTGCAATCATAAGATTAGGCGGCCTAATATTGGTTCATTCACGTTTGGCCAATTAGGATTCGGCTAATGTGAATCGCAAATCATCCATCACATCTCCAGAATGACAATTCGAATCAATATGACTGACACATCTACAAGCCCATGGGATCGCATTAGTAGAAATGACAATGAACTATTACGAGAAGTCAAGACTAATTGGTGTCTGGTCAGAAAGAATACAATCAAACTTTAGTATCATCAATTGAAAATGTAATTGAAGCATTCTTGGTACAAATTTTCTGATGTAAGTGGTGGTCATAAGTTCATCGACGCATGAAGCAACATAAGCGATCTGCAGTACTCGCAATGCAGAGCAGCAGTCCTCATACTATATGAGAAAGAAGAGAAGTTTTGTAACCGCAGGGGGAAAAAACAGAAACAGAAAAACGAAGTGACGCCCATGCTCGTCATATGCCCTAGATGCTTTTTATACCGCAAGAGACGCCGGTCCATTGGTCATCTCATACCTGAAAGGACGACTCGGAGAAAAGAAAAATAAATGCCATGGTGCCCCCGGATCTTTGGAGTCCTTTGCCTCCCTTTATGCAGATTTTGTGCATACAAACAAACGTATCAAATACAGTGGACTGACTGGACTTAGGCAGTGACTGTAACATAAACCGTCACGGTCCTGAATCCAGTGCTGGCCGCAGAGGTAGCCTCGGTCGGGGCAGCAGTTACGATAGGGGAAGCCGAGTAGTCTGAGCTGGCATCATCCTCACCGCCGTTGTCGGTCTCATCTCCACCACCACTGCCGCCAAGATTATCCACGGCGGGCACCACGACGCCCGTGCGAACCTCGGCGTCGACGAGCTTTTGTCCCTTGTTGGGCGGGCCCTGGAAATCCCCAGACGAGCAGGCGTCCTGGATCCCCTGGCACTTGTCCTCCCAGACCTGGCAGTTGCGGTTGCCCGTGGGCGGGACCGAGTCGTAGCACACCTCGGCCTGGTCGTAGCAGTCTTCGCTGGCGGCCCAGCAGCCGTCCTCGTCGTCGTAGTCGGGCACCTCGACGCCGATCCAGTTGCCCTCCTTGATGAGGTAGTCGGACGGGACGAGGACGGCGCCGTTGGTGGTGGCATAGTCGCTGCGTTTGTCGCCGGATCCGGACGACGACGAAGACGAAGAGGAAGAGGAAGAAGAAGGAACGGTGTAGACTTTGGGTCCCGGAATCGGGTAAGGAAAGACGGGCGAGTAAATGTCAAAGGTTACGCTGGGCTCTCCGTCCTTGACGTAGCCAGGAATCGAGACGCTGTACTCGGCAGGGACATCGAGCGCCGTGGCCTCGCCGCCTTGCACCTGGATCTGGGCGCAGCCAGTGTAGAATTGCGGGTCGTTGGCATCGGGCACGTTCTGGAGGGCGAGCAGCTCGGGCCGGAAGAGGTAGTTGCCCGTGGGCAGGCCGCCGGGAACCTGGACGCTCATGAGGCCGCCATCGTCAATGAGCTTCTCGGTGCACCACTTGCCCGTAGTGTTGTCGTAGCCCTGTTCCCAGAGCTTGAACCAGCCATCGCCGGCCGCGGTTGTGGTTGACATATCGGCGACCTGCTTGGCGTAGACGGCGCAGGGACCTTTGTGCGAAGGGTCGATGGATCCCGGCTCCTCGAGATTGGCCCAAAGTCGCCATTCAAAGGTCAGCTTGTCACCAGGGGCGGCTGGACAAGTAAACGCGACGGCCTTCTCGCCCATTGAGCCTGGAGTTTTTCCATGTCAGTACTGGAATTGATGAAACAGGAAGTAGTTTGATGCCACCAAAGCATCATCAAGAAGATCAGTGAAAGGGGCCTGCAGGACATACCACAAGCCATATCATTGCTGGATAAGCTAGGAATCGGACTGCTGGAATTTTCCGAGTTCATGTTCATACGAACACAGGTGCCGTCGCCCTGTGAGATATCGTTGATGTAGATTGTCGTAAAGGTGGAATGGGCTGTCGCGAAGGGAGCAACAACGCCCATCAGGATCAAACCAAAGAGCTTCATCGTGTGGATATACGTTGATGAAACCATGGAAGACACAATATCAAGGGATAATAGAAGTGAACCGGATCCACGATTAGTTGTAATGAATGACTGCCCAGTTTTATTGTTTCGAAACAAAGGACCGTAATACGACGAGGTCGAGTGAGCTGGGAGTTTCGATTAGAAGCGTACTCGAAGCTGTAAGTAGAAATGAATGACAGCCACTAGGGCGATGGTCGAGAAGTCAAAAGGGTTGAAAAATGTCCTCCTGGATCTGGTTCAATGTGAAGTAGGTAGGGAGTGACTGCATTCAAATATGAAAGGAAGGAATGAATGTATTTGCTTTCCTTGACCTCAGGGGAGAAAAAAAATAGGGTGAAAGAGAAAACGAATAAATAAAGTAATGAATGACTGAATGGAAACAGATGCTATCCAATCAAAAGAATCGAAGGGCGACCATGGCCGAGAAATAAGAGCAACTGTTGGCGGCAGAGGTTTCGTTGCCTCATATATGAACAAAGAGAGGACCGGGGTCTTTTAATTTAGGGGGGCGTTTAGATATCCTCCGACTATAAGCCAAGACAAAAAAGCGGCCGTGTCTTTAGTTGAAAGCCAGAGATGGAGGAGGAGAAGGAGAAAAAAAAATCGAGGGCGTACAGAGTAGGATCATTTGATCAATTACCCTTTGTCTCGTCTTTAGAGAGTCTCGTCGAAATATTCCAAGCTAGCTTCTTTTTTTGGGATTGCATGATGGTGCTGTCATTTTTTGACGCCAGCCCGCCGATAGGTCAAAACTACCCGTACTCATTTATAACCTCGACAGGCGCCGATGTGGATGGACGCCATGGTGGTTAGGTATTCCAGAAGAAGCAAAAAAAGATGCTTAAAAATGCGGAGTCGCATATAACCAAACGACCGTACTAACGCAGGAGTCCTTTATAAGCTGTTTCATAATGGTACATTGTCGAGCGCCACAGAGATCTGCTGTCCTTTTTGCAATAATTACACAAAAGCAGTCACAGTTTTTTTACGCAAACGCCAATAGGATGGAATGTGCGGAGAAGCCAAAAGCGAGGTACCAAGGAAGGCGGCCGGCGTTTGGTGTGTTAGTTCGAAGCGCCTGCAAACACACAAGAAATGTTTCCTGGTCCGCATCAATCTATTCAATCCACAGGTACGAGCTATATACCGACGAGACAGGGATATCGGCTCAGTGTTGGTGCGACACTCTAGCGGGAACCAGAGGCCAAGGCAAGACCCGAAGAGCAGAAGCCAAGCAACGTCGGCTCACTTCACTTTTGAAGGGGTGGTAAAAAGCGTTTCTTGTTCAAGGTTGATTCCACGATGTGATCTGCTGCTGAGCGGGTGTCTGATCGACGCCAGGTACTATCGAACATGTCGATCTCCGGATACATGAGTATTTGTTTTTTTTTGACTTCCCCCAGGCGATTCCATCAATCTTGGTTTTCGTCTACATATTGAGGTCATGACACTCGGCCGGAAAGTGACTGGGTTTGTTGATTCTAGAGGATCGGTTGTGCGCGACAAATACATTTTCCGATTGGCCCAAGAAGAAGAGTAAATGCGAGACTACGGAAGTCAGTTGGATTCCGGGGCTGTAAACGATTGGTACCTGCAAGGCACCACTACTGTATGGTTTTATTCCTTTTGCCAAGTTCATGACTGGGGAAAATTGATTGGCTCGTATAATCAAGAATGCAGCCCGCCTTCTCTCTGCCTCTCTCGGCCTGCGCTTCCGAATGCACGTCAATCCGCCCATCGTGGAGGGAGAGAAACCAAAGTCCCTTGATCTTTTCCCATTCCCTCCATGAAAGCAACAACTTTCAAACATCTCCCCCTTAGGCGGCCGGTGAAATGTCCCCTGATTTTGTATTGTTGCACAGGACCTTGGGAGCCAGTAACTCGCAAACGCCCCCCCGGATTGCCTTGCCAAGCCAAGACGGGACACTACCGAGCGCCTCTCGGTTACTGGCCTCGATTACGACAATCAAGTCAAGAGCAAGACTAATCCCTCTTGGAAATTCCCGTTCGTATCGCCGTGAGGCTTAAGATGGGGACACATGTCTGGCGCTGTTCCTCTGCCGAGTGACCAATAATCGTAGCCAATGCACCAGAGAAAGCTATCCACATCTTCCTTGACACAACCATATCAGGCTTGCTTTCACAGCAGATGGGCAAAGGAATGAGACACAACGGCACCGAATAAAGACGTTGAGAATAATAGAGATAGAGAGCGGAGAAACCCTTTTGCTGTATCTAAACCGGTCCGGCCATATCGAGGTAAAATATCAATTTCCCCTTTCCGGGCCTTACAATAGCTTGAGACGCCTTCCACTTCCCAAAATGCCCTTTATTTCTGAGAATTACACCGCTCTATGCAAATGTGCCGGGTCCTGCACTTTCCTTTGGTTGTTTTCATCTCCTTAATTTTTGTACATGATATGATACATGATGGTTGTCATTATCTTCTTGGACTTCGTGGGTATTTTGACTTCCGTTGATGTTGGTTTTCTTGATTTTCGGGTTGTTTCTTCTACTCGTTGATCTTGGCGAGAATCCTAAACGCACAATGTGATTAGTGACAAGGTAATCATTGAGTGATGCCATCGGAGTCGTCTTCAAGACGACCCCTCGGGTGGCCCAGACTTACTCGCTGTCACGGAAGAGCTGGTACTCATCCTCGCCAACCTTGACGGGAGAGCCACCGAACTGGGGGATCAGGACTCTGTCACCAGCAGCGACACCCATGGGCAGGCGCGAGCCATCCTTGTTCAGGCCGCCGGGTCCAACGGCCAGAACCTTGGCCTCGTTGAGCTCCTTGACGCTGGACTCGGGCAGGAAGATGCCGCTGGCAGTCTTGGTCTCGGCCTTGATGCGCTGGACAAGGACGCGGTCCAGGAGAGGGACGAGAGCCTTGATGGATCGGATAGAGGTGGCCTAGGGATCGAGGAAATGTGTCAGTCATATAGCTTGCAAGTATCGTCACTGCCAAGAGTATCCATGACGCGGCCGCCAGCCCAGCGCAAAAGCACAAAGGGCAGCTGCTGTCCGTCTACAAATGGGCTGCGCGTGTACAGGTAGGCCTGCTTACCATTGTGAATAGAAACGAAGTGGTGGAGTTGATTATATATGATGTACTGTACGAAAGAATGCAACGGATGTCTTGATCAAAAGAATAAATCGGAGAGAAAAGTGGTGATTGCTTAATGGTTTGTAATAAATGAAGCTATCGCGAATGGTTCTGGAAAGCTTTCGAAGATCCAACACCCAATGGGAACTGAATCGGACCCGAACTTTTTTGATGCAGTTTTTCCGATGCCGACCCAATGCCGAGGGATGGACCTGGCCAGAGGGCTCTAGCTTGAGGTCCCAATTCCTCCTGTTGCAGTTGGTTGGTTGGCTGTCTAAAGGTTCCCCGTTCATGGGCGGAACATCCCTTTTGAACAGGGGCCCGGGCGCCAAGTGACCTAGGCTAAATTGGCCCGGACCAAGTAGTTTTCAGCGCCTCATTTTCTAGCGTGCATCTCCAGAGGCCAAAGGCCCCTAAAGATTGGAAATCAGTGATCCATCAACTATTCCAATACACACAGTAATATCTTGCATACATACTCACCCCATAAGGAAAATAGAGCAGGCTAATTGTACTCAAACAATCCTGGTTGCTAAATAGAATGAATCGAGTCAAGTTCCAGAGCAGTCGTGATATTTGCAACCTCACAATGACGGACGAATGAGCAATACATGGCTCGTACTTAATTAAGCATTCGAAGCGTGTTAGAAAATAAGAAATTACCTAGTATGGAATATCCCTATATTAGAGGCATGTTCCGAGTCCATGATGGCGATTTTGTAGCATTGCAAATTTGTCGTCTTCCCCATTCGTTATTTCCCTGGACTTGAACTGTTGGTCACATCTCCTTGCTGTTGTGACTATATCCCTTTGTAATCAATCTGATCGTCGTCTTTCTCCCGAAATTCTTAACCTCTATAAAAGCTTGAGCTCCCATCTCAATATTCCTAGAAGCTTCATCAAAACTTTGGTTCTTCATTGGGGACGTCTTCAATGTGGGACTACTACCACTTGATCGTATTGTCTTCTGGGTCTGGTAGTATACTGAAAACCTTCGATTTGTGTTGTTAATTCTGTCTGACCGGAAACTTGTAGTCTAGCGTCTAATTTGAATAGATTCTTTTCCCCTCTTCGACCCATGGGCATGCCGCGGCTGACATTGTCGAAGTAGAGATAAATTATGCCCGCGAATTGCGCCACCAGTTTCCAAACGTCTAAAAGCAGCGCTAGATGCAGAAAAAATGAAATCCGCGTTGCTGCGTAGAAATCGAGACCCCCTTGCTCTCCCATGGTCCCCAATGATGGTATGCTTGTAAGTGTTACACGGCTTGATAGAAATATCAAGTGGACTCCTGGTCCCAGACTGTAAGTCGACTATTTGGCCTGCGATGCTGGGGGCTCAAGAATGTGCGTGTGGTCTAGGGCCGGTTCTACGTTGCCCGGACCCTCCTGTCGGCAAATCACCGTATCGGATACCCATGGCTCGTCAAGAATATCTTGCATGGTAGCTCGCTTCCGGGGATCAATGGTGAGCATACAACCGATAATATGTCTACTCTCACGAGGAAGCAATCGCAACAGCCTCCAAGGGCCCCGGATTACTTCCTTGGGCGGCGGGGCATCCTTTGTTGTGGAAGAGCCATTTCCGTTGGCTTGTGCCGACTTTGATGACGATGATGCTACTTCAGACTTCTCTGATTTCTCTGGCTTCTCTGGCTTCTCTGGCTTCTCCGACTTTTCAGACTTCTGGACTTGATTCTCGCCCTGGTCATTCTTCTGCTTGGGTTGCTCCTCGGGAAACATGTCCCGCTGGGGGGTATTGGCCAAGTCGTTAGTTGATTTCGAAGGAAGAATGAGTTTCTTGGGATCATGCCCAGGCGTTGGCTCGGCAGCAAATAGTTTGTAGGAATTGTCTGTCAATCGAGGGACCTTCCAAGGAAATCTTCGCAATGACATGCAGCAGAAGATAATGGCCAAAGACCATATATCAACAGCCTGGGGATCGTACTTGCGTTCATCGTATACTTCTGGTGCTAAGTATGGATCAGATCCAACAATGCCTGTCACGCGTGTCAGTAATCTTTGCACACATATTTAAAATTCCAGAACTGGGCTTACCGGATGCCAACACAATGCCGCCCTCAAATGGGTACTTGAAAACATGGGCACTGCCGAAGTCGATGATCTTCATGATGCCATGCTCGCTAACAACAACATTGTCCAGCTTCAAATCCCGGTGCGCCAGACCCATGCTGTGGAGATATGTGACACCATTGAGTATCTGCAGGAAGCAGCAGGCGACTTCGGCTTTCGACATTTTCCCTGTCATTACGATGGCAAACAGATCGTACGGGGCATATTCCATAACCTCGTACCACTTTCCTTTTTCCGACACAATATCCAAGGTTTCGATGACGTTGCCGTGATGCAAAGCTGATCCAATGCAAAATTCCGCTGTCAGTTTCTTAACGTACTCCTTCTCCGTCTCGTACGTATGCCTCGGGCGGAACTCCTTCACTGCAAACACTGTGTTGTCTTCGTGCCTCCGCATCAACTTTACGGATCCTCCAGCTCCAGAGCCCAACACTCTGCCAATCTTTCCATATTTAGAGGACAAGCCATGATCATCGGCAAAAGGTACCTGATAAGATGGTCGGCTTGCTGGGAGTTGGGGTCTGGCAGCGGCAGCAACCGGAGATTCTGACTTCTTCGCCTTATGACCACCTCCAACCTTGAAAAATCGCTTCAGATCTGACATTGACGCGTTGCGGCTATGTGTAGTCGAATCAGTGCCCGTATGCTGAAGATCATGATGGCTGCCTTTGTTAAGAACGCCGAGAAAGCCGGAATGCCGCTTCTCAGACTTATCGGGCTTGGCCAAATTCGTGGAGGACGACGAAGGGGAGCCACGTCCCTTTTTTCTAGAAAAGACGAAACGAGAATCGATATTTGCAGAGCTTCGACTTGCTGGGGCCCGTTTGCTTGCGGCATAAGGGTCGTTGAGATCTGCTGCTGGCGTGAATGGACGAGAGTAATACTGAGAGGCAGTTTTTCTCCCCGAGGGACTGCTTTCTCTCGAGACGGGAACAGATTCACTGCCAAGAGTGAACATGCCTTGTCGATGACCAGTGGGTCGACCTTCCCGCTCCTCCTGATTAATGTCCTTAAGTGCTGAAGGATCGTACGAGCTTGGTCGATGAGGAAGTGCGATCCGTGGTGAAGCTGGAAAAGAGCCTTGGCCAGAGGCCTGAGGCGTTATCGCTGAAGTGTCGACACCACCATCTGACTGGGCGTTTACTGGCTTGAGACGACTTCCCGAAGCAGACTCAGGTGCCGTAGTACCGGCAGGAGTCAGAGGAGGTGACGCTACATCAAAGGCGTTGTTCATCCTTGGGGAGCGACGTCCCGTCGGTGTATGACTCTGTTGAGGAGTAGCAACGGCGGAACTGTCATGGGAAGGAACCTGAGATTGCGATTAGCGAAGCTCGAGCAAGACAAACCATGGCACGTCTGAGTACGTGGTGACCATGGACCGCATATTGTACTACAGCTGATCTGCAACCTTGGCCCAACAGGAATCATGGGAATCTGCCCGCTTCTACCAGTCGTGAGGTAGTGCAGAATAGCCCAACGCAGCAGCAGGTGATATGGAGGCAGGCGGGAGCTCACGTACCCTGGATGGTGGCAGCGAAAATGCTTGGTATGAGAAACTCTTCATCCGCTGCTCCTGCAGATTTGTGTCGGCCAATGACTGGGATAGAGCCTTGATCTGTTCGGGTGTAACGTCTGGATTCTGGAGGAGGCCAGGAGCAGAGGGTTCTGGAGCTTGCTTGGTGGGCTCAAGTCTCGACTGGCCTCCATCAACATCATATTGCTCAACTTTTGAGGCGAAGCGGACGGCCGGCGCGGCCACCGGAGCATTGTCATTGTAGTCGGATTTACCGGGGGACTGATCAGAGGAGCCTGAATTTTGCAAGCAGATGTTAGTAGTCGCAAACAAAAAGGAATAAGGCGAGCCCAGACAAAGAAGATCAAATGCAAGGGAAGAAAGCCAAATATCAAGAATCTCTTGGCAATATAGTATGTTACAGAGGCTGTATTTTAGAGTAGAAAAAAAGGTTGTTTCTTTTTGGAGTAGCTAGGTAGGTAGGTATAGGTGATGTCAAGAGAAAGGTTGGAGGGGGGGATGCTGTCCGTACCTTGCGACTCCTTTAGGCGATGCTGCGCACTCTCCATATTGCTCAGGACGTTGCATGCAGCTGTTATGTATACTATCGTGGACTGCAACGAGAGATTGAAGATGACGATAGGGCTGAGCAGTGGGCTAGAAGTTTGCCGGGAGGAATCACGGGAGTAATTACTACGAATGAGAGAGGAAGAAAAAGATGATGCATGCTATGATGCCGCCAGAAGACGTCAAGTGAGAACAAGAGCGAACTGCGAAAAACGCTGGACGTGCCTACTTTACGCCGCCAGACTGCTCCGAGCTTAAGGTGACCCGTCCCTCTTTGCATGGTGGGGCAGATTGACAGTTGCAGTCCAGACAGATGGTAGGGGTTACCGAGGCGGTACCTGGCTCGGGCAGCATGTGGGCAGCTACTTTGGCGCATAACAAGCTGCGCCAGCGCGGCCGAACAGGTACCCCAGAAGTTCTTCTTGGGGAGTTTTCGGCATGAGCGATCGACCAATGCAGGGATGACGGCGCTCTCTAGTCAGTTGTTCTTGTCGCTGCTGTTTCAATGTTTTTCCTCGTCAATGGCGGGGCATCCTTGGAAAGCCATTCTTGCTTGTCATCCACATGTGAAGGTGAAGAAGAAGTTGGCAGCCAGTCTCATCAATCTGTTCAGGGTTTGGCCAAGTATGTTTTTGTTTTTAAATTGACTTTGGTCGAGACCTCAATGTATACACAAAACTGCAGACAGACTTGAATGAGTTGCAGTCATTGTGTGCCGTTGATAGACCTTGAGAGGTATTTTCCATCAAGAATTCGTGTCATTACGCAAGGAATAATTCATTGGCATACAGAGTTTCCAGCGACACTTGCAACTGCTCGCCTAGGGCTTGCCGGTTGAATACCAGCCTGCCAGCCAGTTCCTATAGGCTTTTCCTCCCCATCGGATTGAAAAATAATCAATAACAACAATTGAAAACATATGGTTTCTTTCGATTGTAAATCTGCCTGCATCAATTGCCTTACCCGCATGCTTTCTATTCTGCCTGTCAGGCTGCTCTCATCTGCAACCCGAACTGGAAACGACCCGTGAGTGGGGGAATCAAGAGACAGATGATCTCACAGCCCCTCCACTTTAATCCATATCCACACACTGTATGCCGTAAGTCACAGGTCATACCCAGCAAGTCCAGTGAATTACGCCAGCCCCAGATCTCCGGATTTGGTGCCAATCGTCCCGCGCCTCGTCGCTGCTCACCAGCTGGCCCTTTTATTAACAAATCAACCATTCTATCGGATATACAATCTCTCTTTTATGGCGTCCTTGTTGAGAAAATGGGTTGCAAGCCTACGTTAGTCATCTACTTACCCGGGAAACAAATCTATCGTGAGCCATTGGAGCAAGTAAAAACTATCAAATTCGGCAGTCGTACCCGATTTGGATACACCTCTTGCTCTCCAGAAATCACCCCGCGCTTTGACTCATGAGAACCCGCTATCAGGGAGGCGACTATCGGCCCAACGTCGCTGCGTTTGCGCGGGATTCTCGGCGGCGACCCTTTTTTTTCTGTCCTGCATATAAATAAATGTGCGATTGGTGATGGCAGCTGTCCTATCTAATCTGAATTTCGAACACCATGCCCTCAGTCAGCGCCTCTCTCCCAACATTACCTAGCATAGTAGCTACACAGGAAATAGAGCGGTGATTACCCAAAATCCCTCCGGCAACGTAGGCAGGACAGTAGGTAATGTACCTAGCTTCCATGCAAGCCATGCCATGCGGCCTGCCGTGGCCCCGGCCCCCGGGTTCCCGGATTGGCATGAAAAATTGCAAGGATACGTACTCAATTCCTCATAGCTTCTCCAACCCAAACCATGAAAGGAAGAGACAGAAAAAGAAAAGAAAAAGCTTTTTTCTTGCCCGCTGCCAAACCGAATCAGTCATCAGCCGCTGACGGCAAGAGCGGCCGTTGCTCGGCGCATAACCATAATCTCCACCTATCCAAGAGAGACTTTGTGTCTCCATTTTGCTATACTATCAGTATATTTGCCCAATGATCGCCCGCCTTTTCCATTTTTTTCACCCGTTGAGCGCCACGGATAGACGCGGTTCTAACCAGGAACACCAACTCTATTCGTGAGAGTTTACGCGACAAATAGGAAAATTCTTATCTCGGCCAAATTCCCGGTGCTGCTTCGAAAAGAAAAACTGAAACTGCAGCAGTTGCCCAACCAAAACGAGTACGCAGCAGGCAGTGAGTGGCATCTAGGCTGTGCGCCCATATCAGCAAGCCAGCAAGCCTAGCAACATTGAATCGTGCAGAATGCACTCTACACTAATAGTTCCGCGTGGAGGTGGATAGGTTGGACAAATTTGGGTCCTCAATGCAGCTGGCAGTGAGTCTCGAACCAAGCGGATCCATCATATCCTGCGGCGAGGTTGCAACTGCGCTGCATAAGGTAGCGATCAATGGGCTACTACTGTCACGGCTGCGTGCGTGTCTCGAACGGTCGTGGCCCATCGAAAGCCTCTCCCCCTCAGGAAAAAAAAAAAAAAAAAAAAAAAAAATTTTTTACCTAGCTACAGGTTGCATTTTATAACTAATCCCCAGCTTTAATTCCTACGTGCTGAGTGGTCGTCCCAAAAAGGCACAAGAGGCGGTGCTGAAGGTCCAGAAGCGGACAATGAAACACGAGTTTTGACTAAGAACCCAACAGGTTTCTACCCAACATTGCTCCATTTATCATTGCCCAGCTGGTTTCCTTATTGACTGACTTGTTCGATCCCGGCGGAATTTTTTTGCACGAAATCAATCAGCCCTAAACGTGCTTAGAATTGACGCCCGTTGGTCTAGACCATGGATATAAGTGGTGATCATGGCTGTAAGCTCAAAGCTCCACTAGCAACCCGTTCCGCTGGAAGCCCTAATAAGAGCTATGGTATTGGCAGGTATAGCTATCGTGCATAATCCCACTGTGTTGGCAAGAACACCTCAAAGCTACAATGCACAACCCACTAATCAGATGATATTGAGTCGACATAGTCTCGACCAGTATGAATCGGAAATCATCCATGACGCCATCGCGAGGAGCTCAACGTCTGTCTAGAGGATGTGATCACCCCAACCACTACCATAGGACCGGATCCCTTTGTGTTTAGCCGGGCTGTCAGTGCCTACCCGACCGAGCATTCCGCCCATAGCTGAACAAGTAGTTCAAAACTTTCTACCACGTTACCGACGTCATATTCTGACTGACCCAGTACCATTTCAATAAGAATGGCTGGTTCATCTCGTACGTCAATTTGGGGTAAAGAGCCGCGTCTTCTAATTTAGTCTATAATCTAGCTAATGCCCATTCTGCTTGCGGTTCAGTACCAAGGTTGACTCCAATTCATCTCAGCGGCATCGATAGGGCTCCTAAGCTGATAGACTCCCGAGACACCATACTGAGGTCCACTTCCAGGTTTACGGAGGTGTCCCATTGATATGCAATCTTCGCGTGAGTAGCCGTAAGCAGAACATGCAAGGTAGCGTAAATGAGGATGTACAGTGATTTTCTTTTTGCCCTTTAGACCGCCGAAAAAGAGAAAGAAAAGAAAAAGGAGAAAGAAAAAGAAGAACAGGCTCTGAGTTGTGATGGTCAGAATAATCAGATTCACATGACTCAGCTCACGCAAGCACCTTTTTAGCAGTCGCCACGGTCGAGATTGATGTTGATCCATCATTTATCTTAATAAAAGAATAAGGCAATATGCGTCGGTCGGCGCGCGGAGTCTGCGTAAAAGTGCCCGGCGGTATAAGCTCGCCGTACGAATACGATTCTTTTTTGTTCCGAGCCTTCGGGCTTTATTTTCGTCGAATGCGACGCCGTATAAATTCGTGTTTTTTAGTAATAGCCTCGCTAACGTATTTTTTTATTAAAGCCCGTATATTTATAATAGCTTCGCTATAATATAATTTTTAATAATTATATTTTTGTACGGTATATATATAAGTTTATATTAGCTATTGCTAATTTAATCGGTACGGTATAAAGTATAGCGGCTTAATTTTTTTTTTATAAATATAAGGTTTTATTTTATATTAATTTGTTTAAAGCTATTTTTAATTTTTTTTTTAATTTTTATTATTTTCGATTTTTTTCCTCCCCGTTTTTTAAATATTTAATAAAACCGATTATATTTTTTATTATAAATTAAAATTATATAAATTAATATTATTCCCCGTTAATCGAAAGCGTTTAAATTAATTGCTTTTTTTAAAATATTATATAAATATTATATATTTTTATTATAGTTTTTACTTAAAAGCTAAATTTTTAATTTATTATAAAGGTTATTTATATAAAAACGATTAATACCCGGAAAATTATAGCTAAAATAAAAAATTTTTTTATTTTATTTATTAAACCCGTCGTATGCTTTTATTTTTTGCCTTAAATATATTTTTTTTAAAAAGCCTAATAAAAAATAAAAAGCTTTAATTTAAAAAATATATTATTTGCTTAAATAACGCGATTTAATAAAAGGACGTAAATAAAAATAAAAATACGGTTTCGATCGATAAATTATACGATAAAAACTGCTTTTAACCGCTTTATTTCGAAATTGCGTAATAATAATACGGCTATATATACGTTTTTAAATAATAAAAAAAGGGTTATTTCGTCCGCGTATTAAATAATCCGTATTTTTTCCTAATCGGCCTAAAAAAGCCCGGTAGCGTGCGATTATATAAACCTTCCGATTAGCCCGTTTTATTATTATATAATATTGCCCCGGTTTTTTATAAAAGGCAAATTATAATAAAAAATTAATTAAAGCGTATCGTATTAAATATATTAAAAAATAAAATTATATAAGCTAAAACGCTTTTTTTTTTAATAATATATCGTATAATTAGCTTTATATATTTTTAAGTAATATTAAAAATAAAAAAATAACGCTATTTAAATAGAAAAAAATTATTAATATCTTTAACCGAATTAAAGCGGCTTAACCTATATTTATATAGGCAATTTTAACGCCGATAATAATTATACTTATTTATTTATTATTAATTAA